TACCCACACCCACACCCACACACCCACACCCACACCCACACCCACACCCAACTCTTTTCGTAACTCATCTTATCCTGTTTCCACTATTCGGTTCAAAAAATAAAATTTTTTCTCAGATTAACGGTGTGGCTATGGGATCACCTGTCGGTCCTCTTCTTGCAGACATTTTCTTAGTTCATCTTGAGAAAAACCTTATGGAACAATTGAAACAAAAAGGTGTAGTGTACTGGAAACGTTACGTTGACGACACTATAGCCATTATTAAAAATGATACAGATATTGATCAATTGAAAAATATTCTCAACTCTTTTCATAATTCCATTCAATTTACAGTTGAGCCTGAAACTGATCATTCATTGCCATTCTTAGACATCTCAATTCGTCGTCTTTTAAATTATAACACTTCATGGTTTTGTACGGATATTTATCGTAAACCTACGTTTACAGGTCTTATTCTAAAGTGGAACTCTTTGGTGCCCTTGGAATATAAACGTAGTGTAATATCCAGTATGGTCTATAGAGCTCTTCGAATTATTTCTGATTATTCGTTACTTCACAAAGAATTCTTATTTATTCGAAAAATTGCCGTTTCTAATGGATATCCTCTTCCATTTGTCCTCAAAGTGATTCGAGTGACTTTTGAAAGATATCGACTTGCTTCTTCTTCTACTCCTTCTTCTTTTAACATTGATCAAAACAAATTTAATAAGAACACAAATGTTTCCATTAAGGAAAATTTACAGAAGAATCAGGTTTTGTTAGTTGATATACCTTATGTGGGAAGACTTACTTCTACTTTTGGAAAAAAATTGTTGAATGTAGCCAAACAGGTCAAACCAACATTACACTTACAACCTATACCACGTCCCTTTCCAAAAGTCCAAACTTTATTTGCACGGAAAGATCCCGTACCAAGGGAATTATTGTCAAATGTGGTTTATAATGTCAACTGTACGGGTTGCTCAGCAAGCTATATTGGAAAAACTTGCCGTCAAGTTTCCCGACGGTTTGAAGAACACGGTAAAGTGAGGCTACTATCTTCTCCTCCCCCACAACATTTTCCAACATTAACAACTACATCAATATTTTCTCAACGCCCTAAACGAAATGTTCCTATTGTTAATTATGCATTAAATGAGAAAATTCTCGATGAAGCTATAGAAGATACTCCCAAGTTATCTGATGAAAAGAATTTAAAATTTTCTCAATCAGCAATTTATCAACATGAAGTAGAGACAGGGCATTCGATTGATTGGGATAACTGGAAATTATTGAGCAAAGATCAGAAATTTTATCGTCTTTTAATACGTGAATCAATACAAATTTCAAAACTTGAACCTTCACTTAATCAAACTGTGCGTTCAGTTCCTTTGGTCATTTATCCGGATAGTTCGTCATTATTTAAAACAAAAGTCAAGATGAAAGCAGGTGTATAGTGAAGTGCCATGGGGGAATTTGTTTCTTAATCTTAAGAAATTTCTTAATATTAAGAAACAAATTTAGTCCTTTCTATAGAGGTCTTTGCCTCAGCAAAATGGCTATATATATATGACTAATTCTATTATTTGTACTTTTAAATGTAAACTTTAATCATTTTTATCTTTTTTGTCCGATGATGAGAGTTGAACTCTCGAAAAGCTTCACATTTTTGTAATAAAATTTAAAATAGTTATGGATAAATTCTCATCTGCTGTTAAACTAATTCAATGTATATTAAATACATATAAATTAAACGTATTCACAGTCATCAATTTTTCATTTACCATTAAACATGTTCTATTTTTAAAAAATATATCTGATTTCTATATTTGGTTTTTTGTTAGAATAGATTTCGTTAAAAAATCAATATTTTTCTAAGTTATCCAAAGAATGTCAAGAAATCTTAATTAATTAATGAAAATTCATTCTGTTATAAAAAGAATTCGATCAAATTTAGAGCAAAAACTAATACTGATGACCTCTTCGAATAATTAGCTAAGAATAAAATAAAAAATTATTCGTCGATCTCTTTTAGTTATAAAGAAATAACGAAGAAAAATAACAAAATCGATAACCTATTGTGATTTTTCATTCAATCATCGCTAATTGTATCTCTTGTTTTCGAACTTTTTTTCTAAAAGTTCCTGACAAAAAAGGAATTTTACTAATAGATTTGTCACCTTTTATTATCTATTTTGTATGCAACACAGACATTTATATTCACTGATAAATTAACTTTAATAAATTTAATTCAATTAGTTATGATATAAAATTGTCTGTTAATATGTTTAGATTGTTTTTGAAATAAATCATAGATACGTTGAAATGAAGACTACTTTTCATATATAGTGAAAAAGAGGAAAATTTTATATATAAAACAGTTGTAATAGAATAATATTTTTCAATGAAAATTATTGTAAACTACAGTGTTTATTATTTTTTTATTGACATTGCATACATATTGTAGTTTAAAAATTTCTTAGTATTCAGATAACAAGATGCTTGACAAAAAAAAACATCAAGATTCATTTGATAGGAGTTGAAACTGAACAAGTATTTATCAATATGATTTAAGAGATTTTATTCTTATGAATAACTGATTCATTGATAGAAAAAAATACATCATGTTGAATATCATTTTTGATGCAATACAAAATTCAATGTGAGATACGTATGACGAAACATTATTAATGCTTATAAATATTTATGCTTTTATTCAGTAGTTTTATATCAAATATTGAAATATCTGCAAAATTCTGTAGCTTATTGATTTCTTTTTTATTTCTTACTGTTTGAGTATATGAATTCGAGTTATGTGTGAAGATAATGAATTTAATGATTGAAAATATAATTCTAGTCTTATTGATCTTTTAAAAGCAAATTCTGATTTTCTCAGATTATTATGAAAATTAAACTTTTACAATATACTAAAATAATCTTTTATTAAAAAAAAGAATAGTCAATCATTTTTCTTATAGTAATTCACCATGATACTAAATGCGTAAATCAGTGTAGTGAAGAAAAGGATAATTAGATTTATAATCACAATTCATGATGTCACTCAAATTCACGCACATATTAAAGAAAATATTCAATGTTTATCAACATTGAATTGTATTTCATCAGAAACTCGACTATTGTTACCATTTACTTGAAACTATAAGAGTTTGGATATTTTGGGTCATGTGAAAAATAAATGCCAAATCTTCTATTAATGTCATAACATTTTCATACTCTTCTATAGATCCAATCTGTTTTTATGAATAAATGCTAAGTTAAATAAACAAACAGAGAGATATGATTTTTTTTACATACATAAATGATTAATACGGAATAAACACGTTCGTGTGATAAAAGATCACAATCGATACTAAACGACATACTAATTACAAAGGATGAAGTACAGAGACAGAATAAGAATATCAAGCATACATTAACACTGATTGATAGAAAGCTGACGCCATTGACAAGATAAACGTGACGTCGTATTTATGAAGAGATTGTCCGTGGCCGAATAAAGTATATTTACTCTAGACTATCGAACAAAAAAAAAACTTTGACTGTTTCGATCATTGGCAATGAATAATCATGTAAAAATAAATTTCTAGATCTAAAAGTTTAACTTGTTCGACTGAAACACGTTAATTTTTAAATTTATAACTTCTCTGCTTCTGTATATTTTTTCGTTTTCAATGATCGAAAGGTTATATTTAAATTTCTCTTTTTTTCTTATGAATTAAATTTTCGATTTAATCTCGAACTGTCTCTCAAATGTGTAAAGAAAAAATGTTTGATCTTATGTTTCTTTTGAATACCTTCACGCCGTATTTACTATCCAATTCTTAGTACATTCACTACTTTAAAGACAAGACATTTTAAATTGAAAGAATTAGAAACGTGATATAATGCATTGTTTCGATTTTCTTCACTTTCGTTCCATGGGAACAAGTCGATTCCACCTTTGTCACATTCTACATAGATTCATATTAGCTTATCGATGACGATGTGTTATTAGCATGAGAGAGAGTGACATCTTACTGTATTTAACTATGTGAGGAAGATCAACGTAACGTGATGCATATGTATGGAAGATGATGTAATTTTTTCCTTGTCGTATTTCGATTTACAAACACCGAACGAAATCAAAAGTGTTTAAATTATCTGAATTTTCAATATATCATCAAAAGAATTAATAAAACTTGCATCAAAGAGAGATGTAGAAACAGAAGTTGCTCAAGCACATTAATTTTATCACTTGATAATATACATCTTCATTGTAATCCAATCGTTCACACCGAATCCGGTAAACCTGTTATACCAAGCAGAATTATAGCCGAAGAAAGCAGTTGAAAAGATGAAGAAGAAAGTTTCTTCTATCATTACGTTTAAATTGATATAAAATATATTATTGATGGACATTTCTTTAAATGTCCTAATCGATAAGTTAATGGGGCCCCTATATAGAATGTGACGAATGTGGAATCGACTTTTTTTCCCATAGGACGAACGTGAAGGACACCACTTTTTTTTATTCTTAGTATTGACTTGTATCTTTTAAAAACTAATCAAGTACAATCGTTTGATTACCATGCTCTTTCTATATACAACATTGATAGCTTATGTTTTGCAAATAGCGTTATTGCTATATGTTAATGCTACACAACAATCATCGAAAATACCACGTCTACTTATTATTTCACTTGATGGTAGAGTATAAAATAAAAGAATTTTATTATATTTTAATAATAACTTAATTTAAAGGATTTCGACATAATTATTTACATGAACACAATTTACCTACATTTAATCGATTTCGTAATGAAGGTATACAAGCAAAATATGGAATGCAACCTACATTTCCTACAATGACATTTCCTAATCATATTTCAATTGCTACAGGTGAATTAATAAAAATACAAAAATAAATTATTTGATATCATCTTGTACATATGAAATTTAGGAATGTATCAAGAAGACCATGGTATTGTACATAATATATTTTATGATCGATTATTAAATATAACTATTGAAATGAGTAGTGATTTATTTATTGTCGAATATTGACTAATTATTTTTTATAATTTCTAGATCATCGTGACAATCGACAATGGCTAAATCCAAAAGTAGAACCTTTGTGGATTACAGCAACTAAACAAGTATTTATTTAAGAATTAGAATGTATATCCAAGAAATCTTTCCTCACTTTATATAAGAAAGTCAAATGTGCTGTTTTATTTTGGCCAGCATGTCATAATGAATTTTATGGTATACGTCCACTTATCTATAGTTGGTCATACACTGATGATATACCTTTTCGAGAAAAAATTGACAATGCTCTAAGTTACTTTCGTGAGTTACCAATTCAACTCGTTATGTTATATCATTTGTAAAGTTATTTAATTTTGTCATATGTTTTTTAAATAATCATTTTTTCTTTAAGTGAGCCAGATAAACAAGGACATACATATGGTCCTGATTCACCGAAAGTACGCGATACAGTAAGTAACAATTTACTAAAATAAGTTTATATCCTTTTTTTTCTGAAATAAAGTTAATTCGTCTTGATGGTGATATTGAATATTTGCTGTATAAAGTAAAGTGTGAACTCAACGATGATTTAAATATAATTATACTTTCTGATCATGTATGTAAAATATACTATTTTCTGTGCAAAAATTTGAATGTATTTCAAAAAATTTTCGAAGGGTATGACCAAAGTAAAAGGTGTGATTCGACCCTTTGTCGACAAATATCTTAATAAAAAATCAGTTGAAACATCTATTCTTTCGGGTGCATTATTCAATGTCATACCAAAAAATGGACTCGTAAGCATAATTAATTCTGAAAATATGTTTATTTTAAATTATCTATTTAAAAAAAACTGTGACAACAGACTGAAGCAGTATACAATAGTCTTAGAAATATTCCTAATGTTACAGTATATAAACGTTATGACATTCCTGAACGTTTTCGTTATTCGAAACCAGATCATCGACTTGGGGAAATAACTGTATTACCAAATTCAGAAGGTGTAATTCTATCTTCAGTAAGTCTTTTGATTTATTTAATCACAAATTTTATTTTTTAATTAATATATAGGCTACAAAAATGAAATCCTATAATAAAAAAGGTAATCATGGATGGGATAACACATTAGCATCTATGCAAGCTATATTTATGGCTCGTGGTCCTTCCTTTAATATAAATGTTTCAATTCGTTCACTTCATAGTGTTGATATTTATCATATTGCGTGTCGCATTCTTAAACTTCATCCAAATCCTCATGCTACTGCCGGTTCAATCGTTCACCTTTTTGATATCTTCCGTCCAAATGAAAATGCAACGACACTGAACACACTGACATCCACTAGTAAGACAATAGTTAGATTGCCAACAACGATAAGCAATAACTGTTACTTTCATTCCACGCAATTATCTACCTTTCTATTTATTTTAATAGTATTATCTTTCCCTTTTTCAAGAATATTCGAATAAAGAAAAAAGTTGTTTTTAAATCATATTAAGTATCATATTCAAATTGGATCATGATTATTAAGAATAATAGTGAATAGTGTTAATTCTAAATATTCTCAAAAATATCAACACTAACAATGAAGAGGTCTGACTTGTAACTGAGAGAGTTCATTTGTTCCGGTCAAAATAAAGCACTCATCCTCAAACTAACAAATTTTAAATATGATTTACTTATGGTGTGGGTAGGCTCAGATATTCGAAATTTAAGCTATTAACGGTTTAGACATGAAAAGAAGAAAACATAAGAATTATTCATATTTATGTATTTATTAGTTTTTTGATTTTCAATTTCTAAGTTTGTAGCACTTCGTAGAAGGTAATCAATCGTATTAGATTCGCACTACTTTCAATATCTTCTGAACATTTTGGAGTGTCAACCTGAAATAAAATGAGTTTCAATGCATGCAAATTCGTGACGGTGGGTGTGGGTCTGCGTGACTGCAGGGATCTTCACCTCCCCAAAGCCCACAGCCGCCACTAGATCCACCCACACCCACACCCTATCACGATTAAACTATATTGAAAAAAAGTATTGAGTAATATTTTTTGTTCTGAGTCAGTTTCGTTCGAAAGGCGTTTGTGCTTGTCAGAAGATAATTAAAATTATGATATTAGAGAATAAAATATGAAATAAATGACTCGATGGCATAAAATAAACTAAAACCATGAATATTTAACAACTCTTTGAGAAAAGCTTTATTACTAGATTTTTTTCTAATTAGAAAGGACGTAAGTGAAAAATGGCTTCGTTCCAAAAAATTCTATGGTCTCTATTTAAAATACAAAAGACTCAGATGGTTTTCTAGAAACATCTAATGAGCAAGAGGATCACCAAAATGACGAAAATGAGTACAGCTTAGACTCTTTTCAAAAAATAAGTGGTCATTAGACTAGCACAAATTCTAAAGAATTCTTGTTGTCAATGTGTTATAATTGGAATATGAGATTTTTCATGAGCACGGCTCGTGCATAATTTCGTCAAGAATACTTTCTGTACTCAATAATTAAAGATCATTTTCTTTAAAAATCTTATATTTCGACAAGAGTAAATTGAAAAATAAAATAAATCCTTTGAAGCTAAACTAGTCTAGTGGTGATTTATCTTTGAGCAAAATTCGAGCTGCACTCAGTAGTCAAAGCATTTGTGAAAGTCAAGGCATTTGAAAACTCAAAGGATTCATAACCTTGAAATCTAATGGAAAGAGTTTGGCATTCTAAGCTTCTCAATATCAGGATTTATTACTCTATTTGTAAGAATATATTATTCACTCTTTCCATGAACTCATTCGCTGTATTGTTTCAATTGAAAACGATAAAAAAACAAGGGTGTGGGTGTGGGGTGTGGGTGGGTGTGGGTGTGGGTGTGGGTGTGGGGTGGGTGTGGGTGTGGGTGTGGGTGTCGATGAAGAGAAGACCTACAGTCACAACCACCATCACACCCACACCCATGTTTGCTGATGCATTAAGAGATCAAACGGTGATTATCGTTATTTCTCTTATATATTCATCTGTAATTTTTCACATAGACACTTATCATACTTGACTTTCAATCGAATCGAATCAAAGATCTTGGAGCAAAATATCTAGCTAATTTCTTTAGATATAACAAGGTGATCTTTCTTTTTTGTTTATTTCTCTCATATTTGCAATTATACTTTTTCACATAGACACTCACTGCACTTAATCGCGATTCCAATCAAATTGGACTCATGGGGCACAACATTTAGCTAATGCATTACAACATAACACAGTATTCTCATACTCTCCTGTTCCTCTGTTCTTTTATGATAAACTCATCTATACTCTTTCATACAGACACTTGTCACACTAAGTTTGGGTAACAATCGAATCAAAGCTGGTGGAACACAGTTTCTAGCTGATGCATTACAAATTAATACGGTAATGTTTATTCTCTATTCATATTTTGACATTTTTTTTCCTTTTCATATAGACACTCGCTATACTAGATCTAAAACACAATCAAATCAGAGATATAGGAACACAATATCTAGCTCATACATTGCTAAAGAATATAGGAAGCTTCATTCTCTTCGTATATCTCTCGTATTCGTATATATATTTTTCAAACAGACACTCACCACATTAGATCTCAGTAAAAATTCAATCGGAGATATTGGAGCACAACATCTAGGTGATGCATTACAAAATAACACGGTAAATAACTTTTTCTCTTTTACTGGCTCTTTTGTAATTTTTATACAGACACTGACTACATTATTTCTTCAAGAAAATCCAATTGGTGTTCTCGGAGTACAACATCTAGCTGATGCATTACGAAAGAATACAGTAATTCTCATCTTTGTTATATATTCATATGTACTTCTTTTTTTTTATACAGACACTTACTACACTATATCTCTCATCACATCATATTGGAGCTGAAGGTGCACAGTATCTGGTTCATGCATTACACTATAATATGGTAAATTTCATTTTCATTGCTATAATATATCTGTATTTTTTTATATAGACACTTGTCACTCTATATTTTGGTAATAGCCATATCGGAGATCTTGGAGCACAACATCTAGCAGATATGTTACGAAATAATACGGTGATTCTCGTTCTTTCTTGATTTTTTTTCTCTCCTATTTATACTTTGTGTTTTTATTTTTCTACAGCTAGACACTCAGTGCTCTCAGTCTTGAAGGAAATGAAATTGGAATTCATGGAATTCAACATCTGACTAATACATTACAATATAATACAGTTAGTTCCATTTTTGCTTCGTATATTTGTCATATGTTGACTCTTTCATACAGACACTCGTTACATTATATTTAGGTAACAATAGAATTCAAGCTCTTGGAGCACAACACCTAGCTGATGTACTACGTAATAACACGGTAATTCTTTCTTTAACATTTTTTTTTTCATTTATCTTTTCGCATTTTTCCTTACAGACACTTATATCACTTAGTCTCGATGGCAATGCAATTGGAGTTCAGGGAGTTAAGCATTTATCTGATACATTGCAATATAACATGGTAGCCTACATTCTCTATTCTCCTGTGTCACATATTTATATCCATGTTTCTTTTTTTATTAGGACACTTATCAGACTAGATCTCAGACACAATAAAACCGGAGCTAACGGCGCAGAGCAACTAGCCAATGCATTAAGAAATAATACGGTAATCTTTATCATTCTCTCTTAATCTTTTTCATGTTACTATCCTCGTTTTTTTCTATAGACACTGATGGCACTAAGTCTCAGTGACAATCGAATCAAAACTTCGGAAGCGCAATATTTGCTTCATGCATTAGAACATAATACGGTTACTTTTATTTTTTTTCTCTTGTATAATCAATTATTCTTATATATTTGCATAGACACTTACGACACTAGAGATTTCAAAAAATGAAATCGGAAATGAATTCTACGATCAATTAACTAAACTTATTGAACGGAATCAACAGGGCAAAAGATGAACATCAATATTCATAATGCTACGTCGAAGAATGAAAATGCATAATTGAATTTTTAATCTGTTCTTTCTGTTTAACAATTTTTTTACAAGATTTTACTTTTTTTAACAATTTAAAACATCCTAAATACATATCGATATTTTTTTTTCAGTTAAGCTTCATAAGTGATTTTAGTGAAATATCATAATGACATTTTGATATTTTCTAATTGTTGTCCATAATGTTTGTCGTATGAATCTGAGGAGATGTTAATACCAATATTTGAATAAGATTTCAATAGATATAGATTCAGGATGTGGGTGTGGGTAAATGGAAATAAAAAGAATACCCACATCCAACCAGAGAAAGGAGTTCAACTTTAATACATTCCAATGTGTCGTGATCTTCTCTTTCAAACGCTAAAAACCGCAGCCCTCTATATTGTTCCTATCAGAAGTTATCTACAATCAAAATCTGTTCAGTTACTTTTGGTCTAACTAGTATATACATGTGCAACTGACTAAGTTCTTGTGATTCCATGTTGAATAATGTTTTCTTAGTAAAAAGATTAGTCAATTTACAATTCTTATGAAAGTCATGAATCATTTCTTTCATGATTATGTACTATTCGATCATAAATCTATTCATACGACAATCAAAACCATCATTGTTAGTTGCTCAATGTAAGCGAATCTGTTCTTTTGTTAAGACTTCCCCACTCGGTAATTGATTTTCATTATGGTGGATAGGACTTTTTAGGAAACTTTCTAAGAGTGTTCTGCTCATAACTGTATATTCATTAAAAAAATTTCACAATATATTTCAAGCCACAGTGCTCCAGATAATCTCATGTGAAAGAGAATTCCTTGCTACTAGGAATGAGAGATAGGAATTTTTAAATTTCTAGTTCTCTTTTCATTTTTGCAACTCTTGAAACATTTAAATTCTGAAAATTCTAGTCAACCATCTCTCGAAAACCGCTGTTTTAACGTTTTTTTTTTGAATATTGTGTTGAATCATCTTGATAAGTTAGAAAGAAATACAGGTACATTGTATATCAATTAAAATTTTTATCAAATATTTCATGGAATAGACACGAAAACAGCACACCATACCATTATTTATCATTATAGACAGTTGTGTGACCGCAGTTTTTAATGGCCAACATAAAATATTTTTTTAAGAAACCTATTACGATATCGGACAGAAGTGTGCGCTATCTTATACATATATTTCTATTTGTACTCTGTTAATGTTAACAAATATTTGAAAATATTGATTTTATTCAAAATAAATTTTTGGATCAGTTTGCAGTTCATTAATTTATCTTTAAAAGTGAACTTTCTGAAAAATCTTCTTTGGAAAGAAGAATATTTTCTTTCAAAGAAATATATTTCGATTTCAAAATACATTTTTTGAGCACCATTCAGATATCCGATTTATTCAAAAAAGGACGATACAGAAATTTGATTCTGTTTGCTAAAATACAACATCAATTGTTTTTATTTAAAATCATCTTCGAAAAGCAAAACATAGTCTTTCCTGTAGGTAGTTTCGAGAGTTCTAGTTCTCAATATAGATTATTGAATTTGTTTGTATCCTCTTTTTATTCAAATACTTGATTAAAATTTGCTAATTTTCAACTAATGAACAATAATAGCTTCGATAATAGAATCTGGTACTTGAATTGGATATATTTTTTTCAGTTGAAATCCAGTTTTTGTTCAATAACTGTTCATATTCATCTTGTGTACGTTCATGAGCATCATCTAATGAAATAGCCATTCCTATATCGAGTGCATGTGTTTGCCAATTACTTATAGCTCGATTCGGTAAAATTACATGCTCAATAATAAATATAGTTGTTAATGTATCTTTTTTTGTTTTTATTAGCTTTACGAATTGATGATAAAATTTCTAAACATTTATTATCATCAAAATCATGTAAAAAAATGTTTTAATATATAAACATCTGCTAATGGAAGCGTTGATGAATCAAAGATATCACCGGAAATAAAACTCCATTTATCTTTATGTATATTATGTAAATCAAATTCTTCACCATTTTAAAATTTATTAACAATATGTGACAAATCAAAAATAATTCCATGTTTACTTGATGGATATCTTTCAAGAAGTTGAGCTAAAAATGTTCCTCGATTACCACCAATATCAACTATAGTTTTAAAACGACCAAAATCGATAGTTGTTATTAATTGAGAACCATTTTGCATTGAAAATATTGTCATAGAACCACTAAATATTTTTAAAAATTCTTCTTGATCTGGTTGACTCATAAGTGTATAAAAATCTTTACCATCTGAAACACGAGCTATTCCAGTACCTGTACCTTCTCTACGTACCATATTTGGTAAATGTAAACTAGCACGAGTACACAATGGTCCAAAACTAAAACGAATAAAATCTCGAACATGTGATGGATGATCCGACATCATCATAATACCAGATGTAGTAAGAATAAAATGTTTTCCATCATTAATTGTTTCGATAATACCACTATAAATACATGCACGTAATATTCGATAAAGTAAATCTCGATTCCATTGTAATTTATTATCACCAATGATTTCTTCAACAGTAAAACCACGATCTAATGGTACATTTATCAATCGATCAGCTATTCCAAGTTCAGCAAATGTATAAATAGCTTGATTGATCAATTGATGATACATCATTGAGAAGAATTTTGGTAGATCATCGACAACTAACGAAGAAACAGGTGCAAAAGCCATCAACACGTCAAGTAGATAAGTATGTCGTTACAATATACTATAAAATAAAGAAAAAAAAATGAAAAGTTAAGTACAATCTATTATTCATCTAATGTAAGGGATGATAAAGGTAAAGATCGAGTAGAATTTCATTTGATGACTGAAAATATTTACATTGAAATGTTTTTTCTGTATTTCAACTGATTTTGATAAAAAAAAATCTTTAAAACGTAAAAATATTTCCATTTTATTTTAGTGAAAATGATTTATTTAGATTCAAAAGAAAGTTAACGATAATTAGGTTTTTCTATTTCTTTTATGTAGATCATACATATCTGTTTATTAATTATAATCTACTTTTCTCTTGTAATCTATCTTTTAGTCATAGTGAAGTTTTTTTTTATTAAACTGATATTGAAACAGTGTCATAAATTGATAGATTAGAACTGCTTAATACAAATTATTTACGAAATAATAAAAATTCCGAGTGAATCTATTCAACAATAAAAATTCTTATCGATTTGATTTATTTAGTATTTTTAAATAAATTATTTTAATCTTTCAGAGAATGAACGAAAACCTATAAAAAGAAAAATGAGCAAATTCTTTAAGAAAATTCCATTCAAAAAAAAAATTCAACTTTCATTGAATTAAATCAAAATATGGCCTATTTTATTGTGACGTTTTTTTTATCTGATTTTTAAAATAGTTTTGATTAGTATGTGTAACTCTCTCTTTATAAATGACATTTTTATTTTACATTAGCTGTAAGTCTACTTTTCATTTGTATATAAAAATAATCCACCAGAATCATGGAATCTAATGGAAAATATTTCATTCATAAAGATGATAATAATTTAGTACAAGGTTTTACAGCATTTAATTTGTTAGTTGACAGGTGTTCGCTAATAGATAACTATGTACAGAAATTCTACTAATCTAAATCAGGTTAATTTTCATCAAATAATTTTTATAATTTAGATTAGTACGAATGATTATTTTAATAATATAACATATTACCTACATAAATTGTTATTAAAAGGAATAAATGATTCAATTGAAATAGGTGCAAAATAATTTTTACTGTTAAACAACTATCTATTCAATCATATTCAGTTATAGCTAATTTAAATAAACTTGCACTTGATCATAATAATAATTTATTTAATTCAATTGAATTACTTCAATCGAATTATGCAAATATTTTATTGACATAATATTGGATCTTTATTCACTTATTTCGAATATAGTACAACATATGAAATAAAGAGTACAAATAAATGTTGGGATACACTAAATTATATACTGTTGTTCAATTATGCTCAATTCCTGATGCTTACATTTATATTGTTAGATATCATTTTACTACTGACTTACATCAATTATATATTTAATAAAACAATATTTTTGCTAAGGTTTCAGTCGATTTACTCGTTTCTCAATCAAGCTCTTAATGAAATCTCCCCAACTTTTCGTTCGATTGTTAGTAATTCTTTTTATCGATAGATACCAAGTAATGTTCTAATGAAAAAATCGAAAAATATTTGAATTTCTATTGATATTCTCCTATAGAACATCACCTTTTTGGTAAAATTGAAGTTTCGAATTTTGATCTGAAACGTTGTTAACATGAGCAAATCTACTAGATCAGTTCGTCTACAAAGTTTCAAATTTTTTCGACAAATCATCTCTGAGATATGAGTATTTTGAAATATTCATATGTCAGAGATGATTTGTCCAAAATTTCTGAAATGACGATTACTGATGTGTGTTGTGAATCAATAGAAGTTTCGATCGATCATCTCATATAACAGCCGAATGCACATGTGATATGTTAATCATTATGGATATAAATCAAGAGAGAGCCTATCCGTACACATCATACTTATATTCAACTGAATGTATGCCAGTTTTAACATATTATTAACCACATTACTCACTACACTAACAGTGAGATATCAAAATTCTTAACTATAAATCCATTGAAATGAAGTACATTTACCTATCTGTAAAATAAAATCTTCTATTCTCCAAGTAGTTAGAAAAGTCAAATTAACGCATTGTAACACCCGCACTCGCTACATGCATTTCACTCACTCAGAAAATGTATGAATTCTGACTTTTAAAATGTTAAAACGAAAAACCATGAACACTTTTCATACGTCTAAATGTAATCAACGTAGACATTTTTTTTTATGCTAGTCCTGTCATAAAAGTGTGGGTAATGATGAAGAATTAATACTATCCACACACTCGACACGATTTTCTATGTGATTGCACGATGTCAATTCAGTGCATAATACAATATCATTCCAACAATGTACACTATTTCTTGAGTGCAACTCTACCTCAGATATATGATAAGAATGATTTTACTGAATTCAATAGCAATATTTTTTCTCTCTTCCGTACATGTTGTTATATAATCGCCTATTAATAGCTGCCAATTAATTGATAGTCAATATTATTAGTTACAAAATCGTCGTCATGTCAGTATATAAGAGACGACGAACAGAAATCAATAAATGACATACATTAAAATATTTTATGTCTGTCACGCTTATGATTATTGGCTTTGAGAAAAAAAACGAAAACCAATAATTAAATCGATAATATACGTTCAGTTAACTTCGATTTATTGTATATGCAATAATCTGGTCCGTGCTACTTTTGTTGAATCACTATGAATTAAGATTATTTCGTTTAATTTTGCTTGAAAAGTGGAATTGATTAAAATTTATGATTTATCTTATTTACAAACAAAAATACAATTTCAATTATTTAAAACAAAATTTGAATAATGATGATTTTCTAAAGTTTTTGTGTTTGTACGACGATGAGCAATCTTTTAAATTAGATTTTGATGGCTAAATAAGAATAAAATGGTAAAATATTAATAATATTTGTATTACATAAAAAAAAACCTACTTGTTCTTCAATCCACCAATTAATAATAAATTCTGATCCATTGTTAGGTATATGATATATTCGACAGAATGAAGTACCATATGTAAGTCGTTTTATTCGTGAAACAATTACATCTGGATCATATCGAAATATTTGTTCTTGGTTGGAAAATGGACCACATGAAATAAAAGATGCATTTAATAAATATTCAAATCCATTTATTAGACGAATCATAATATATATTGATGGAATATGAGATTTATATATTAGATATTTTGTATATGGAAAAAGACGAAATAATTCTTCAATAATATATTCATTATATTTATCATTAATTCTAATTGTAAGTTTTTGAATTTGTTCAAGAGAATAAGTTAACATTCGTTTTATTGCATGTTTTGTTATATCATTTTTAACAGAGAGTTCATATAAACTAGGTAGTTTTTTTGAAATTGGCATAAATTTTAGTAAATATTCTAAAGATAAAATTGATAAATGTTTAACTTGATTAAGATCGACTATGCGTAATACATATTTTAATGAAATTGAATATTTGAGTTTTAATACATTGATATTTGTAAAATAATATTTGCCAATTTTATCTTTTCTTACAGTAAATTTATTTACATGATTATAAAAAATCGTATTATCAGATGCTATTGAGTAAATCATTGACTGATAGGAAGAATCAACTTGTTCAGGAGCAAAATAAGGAATAGAAAAAAGATAATCATTGTAATATGCGACAAACCATTGTTTCTCTTCAAGCCAAAATGATGTTCGAAATGAATCAAAAATTTGTTCAATAACTTTAAAACATATATGTGTATCGAATTTGAAATTAAATGTGACTAAAGAATTAGTTAATGTTTGCCAACGTTGTCCATCTGCTAGATCAGTAAAACCTGTCAAATGTAATTCAAGATGCTTCAGATAAAAGCAGTTTGACAGAAAATATTCCATATAATCCATTGATACTGGAAAAACTATAAAACATCGAAATAGAAAGATTTTTTCAATAATATTTCATTTTTTGTATTAGAATTTTCCAGAAAAAAATATTACTATTTACATAATAAAGTCATCTGAATTATTTGACAACAATAAATAGAAATATAGAAAAAAGTATTTGAAAATTTTGAAATTTCTAAAATTGATCTGTTTTTGAAGAATTTCAATAATGCAAGAATAAAATGAACTAACAATTTTCATAGTTAATTTAAACTCATGATCAAATGTCGGAATATAGATAATTTACTGAAAGTATTTAGTTTTATAATATGATAAATTGAAATTTGTATTAATTATTCTCCAATTTTTTCACGATTATAAAGTAGTATATGAAAAATTAGTGAACTATTTTATTCTTTCAATCTCATCTATATAACAATCCAGTTATACAAGAACAGATAAGTGAAGAGTAATCGTTTTTCATCTTGTTTTGTTAAAATAATACTTACAATCAATTTTTAGATTGAGTCGAGTAAGTTGACTTGGTAATATGATAGATTGAAAATTCATCTCTCCAAAATTAATACAAATATCTAATGATTTAAGTTGTGGTGCTAAATGAGTAATTGTTTCGAGTTTATCGATGGAACAACTTCCAAGTTTTAAATGTTGAAGATTCGAAAGTTGTATCGATTCTAATATCCAACCACCATTTAAATTTAAAAATTTTAATTGAGGTAATATTTGAGCATAAGTATGAATTAACATTGAATTTATCTGTTGAAGTTTATTTTCAAAATTAAGATCCATTGGTCCATATGTATGTCTAATTGTAGAAGTATTAAATGAAAATGAACGTAATTGATTAAGTTTTGATAGATTATAAAAAATAAATTCTAATGATTTAAATTCAATTTCAATTAAAGTAAGTGATTGAAGTCGAATAAATTGTTGAATTTGAAAATAAGAAAAGAATAATTCTGATTGACCAGATGTATCATCACTATCACATAATGTTAATGAAATAATTTGTTCAGGCCGAATATTACGACAAATATGATCAAAATTATATCGTGAAATTGATTTAAAATTAAGTTTATAAGCAGAATAAGATTGTAAAATAGCATTCATATAATCACTAAGATCATAGAAACTAATTAGAATTTCATGTCCAGAAAAATAACTAAATAAAATATGTAATAATTCTGCAGGTAATAAATCAAAAAAACAGCGATGAGACATCATCATACACTTCGTTGAATATTCCAAATGATTTCTAAATTATAAAAGCAAGAGAATTATCATTCTTTAGTGATACATTATAATTTCTTTTCCTCCACATTAGAGCAAAGATGATTAAAAAAAAAAGGAAGTAGAATCTTGTACGCTCACCTTATTGCTCGTAATCAATTATTGTATTTTACTTTGAAAATAAAGTGAAAATGATTCACAATGATATTTATTTATATTCTGTATTGCTTTGACAAAATTCAGTTAATTTGTACAGATTTTCATAAAAACATTTATATACTTTTGTACGAACAATAAATAGGTAAAGGAGGACATTTAACAATGACTAATCTCAAATATTTGCATTGCTATCTGGTCTAGTCTGAAATGATTTACAATTCGTCTTGATGTAACTAAACGTACACATTAGTCCAGAAAGAATTCACATCTTGTCATGATTAGTTCGTTTGGTCTGTTCATACTGTCTAGACTAATCAGTAAAATAAAGAAGAATAGTTCAATTGTTCATTTTTTAGATAATAATGCCAATCTTGGTCAAAACCAGTCTAAATTCTTCAAAGAGTGCCTTTCTACTTCGATCTATATGTTTCAGACAAGTAATTTAGATTGCCTCCTATTGGACCTAGACAGATATGTGATGTAATGTAGTTAATTTTTGAATGTTTGCATTATTTCTTTCAATATCTTTAGAATAATATAGTATATTGTTTATTCATAAAAATATGAACTATGGGTGGGTATGGGTGTCGGTGTGGGTGTAGTTGTGGCTGTTGGTCTTCTTTTCATCCACTCTCACACCCACACCCACGCCCCACACCCACACCCCACACCCAAACAATGCTGCTATGAAAAATGTACCAGCATACTCTTTTGTTGTTCGTTATGAATTTGTTTCAAATGCTTCATGGATTAATACGAATACAAAAATGCCATTCTCATAAAAGCTAAATAATAGTCATTTATTCACACTCGAAAAATAAACAGCATCAATATGTACGATACTTTTAATCTTTTTTTCCTTTATAATATAATCGATGAAACTAAAAATGCGCAATAGTAATAAAAAGATTAGTCTGTCATAGAAATTCATTATGTTTTCTTATTCATTTCAATTGAATTACTATTTTCTAATGATAAAATATCTTTCGAAAATCCATCGTTCCTCTGAATTTGAATTGAAATGAGTACCATTTGAAGATCTTCGTTGCTAAGGTAAAATGTAGCATCATAGTTGTTCTACACATTCGCACTCTATTTTTTAAATTATCATCAATGGGAAATATTTTAATTCTTCGATGATTTGTTCACTATGGGTAAATTTTGTTTTTCTCTATTTATTCATATCGTTATAAATGGAATCATAATAATAAAATAGAGACAAGAATATGTACAAATAAATGATATGAAAAGTAAAATGGCTTTGATAGTGATTGACTTAATCTATCCATATCTGACATTTTGTTACTACATGAGCATCTAGTCATTTTCTGGAAAAGCAGTATGAACGTTGTTAGATTTTAGAGTGTCATTTGTATATTGAACTCCATTTTTTTCGGTTTTTACTCTTTTCTACTCGTTAAAATAGAACGTATTTGAACAACCAAAAGCATGAGTGTTTTTGGTAAATTTTTTTAATATTTAATAATGATGATAATGATTTTGTAGGGAGCTATGTTTTTCATATTTAATAACAGAAATGAACAATAGTAAACGAAGCAGAAGAAAAAAAACAAAAGACAATCTATGTATATGCATATGTGCCAATGCATTTGCTTGGATTTTGTTTTATTTTTATTTTTTAAATGATGATATATGATTTTTTTTGAGCAGCTGAATTAGTTGCTGCTTGTTTAGCTTGATATGTTTGAAGTATGCCAATAGCTTCTTCAACCTAATATAAAATAAAAATAAAAAAATAATTTATTTTAAAGTTGAATAAACATACTTTAGCTTTAAGTAATTCAGTTGATTCGAGCATATGAAGAAGTTCAATATTATCAATTTCAAGAAGCATACCAGTTATTTTACCAACTAATTGTAGTTGAATTTGTTGAATCAATGGAAATAAACGTTCACCTAACATTTGTTTTTGCTCTAATGGTGTTGCATTAGCAAGAGCAGCTAATGTTAATGGTTCTTGTTCAGCAACTACAATTGAATCTGAAAATCCAGTTGGATTCTAAAAACAAAATTATTATTATTTTTTTATTCAACTTGAATACATACATTAGGTGGCATATTTCGAGCTGTACGAGTATAAGCTGTTGCTTGTTGTGATTGTACTCCAACAAGTGGTCGAACAGAAGTGTCAG